CTCAGATGCCGGTGTTGACTGTTCCTGATCTGGATAAAGATGGACAAGTGGAACTGATGGATAAATATCATTTTGATTATTTGATGATTTTTCAATTATTATTTTTTTTTCAATATTGGGGTGATGTTGGTATGATTTATGAATCAAAGGGGGGAATAGGTTTATGTGATTCATGCATCATTTATATATCATTTTTTAAATTCTTAGGTGAAATTGAGGTTTAATTTGAAAGTGTTTGTTTTGCAAAAGATACTGTTTGATCTTTTCTTTTCTTCCAGAAGCATTTGGGGGAATATGTAGAGATTGAAATACTCAAACAAGGACAATATGAAGGGACAATATGAAAGGAGAATGACTGGAGGAGATGGAACAAGGAAGGTGTGGAAAGATTCCGATTCCATCATCAACGATGCATTGGAAGAGGAGACTACGGAGGAGATGAAGTGTAGTGGACTACATTCCAGTGTCTGCAATGAAATATAGACATGTGTAATACATAATTGTGTCATATTCTTAGGGATTAATTTTTGTAGAATGATGTTTGATGTTATTGAATACATGTGAGGATCTTAGATGTTTTTGTTTATTTCGTGAAGGTTTAGGGACAGAGAGGCTAGGCAGGGAGAGTTCCACTTTTGGGTCCAATGGGTTGACCAGCCTTTAGAGTGGATGTTTATGGATAGGATTTTGTTTGCAGGGGCTTACATGTGTATTTAATTGCATCATAGTTTCAAATGCATGTACATGGTTTATGAGGTTATCTGGAGTACCGAGGTGGTTGCCTGGGGCAGAGGGACCGTGAGAGAATTTTACTGTCTTGATTGATGGATGGATATCTGAAAAGATGGCTGCCGGACAGTTTTTCGCTCTTACACTCCATAGAGATTTCTTCATATGTCATAGTAATGTATTCACACTTCATATGTCATAGTAATGTATTCCCACTTCATAAACAGTTATTGCATAGAAAGGTATTTACACTCTAGAGAAGAATGTTTTTGGTTTAATGTTAAAGATACTCAATAAGATAAATTGTTACTAGTCATAATCCTATTCTGTTTGTTTTCGAGACGTTTAGTTCGTCTCGAAGGGGGGAATATAGTATCTGAAGATTATGCCTTTGTTAAATGTTTTTCATGAAGAAATGGAATGTTGTTTGTGTTAGTAGCAAGAGGGAATGTTTTGGGTGTGACGCCAAATACAACAGACCGGAAGTGTCTTGTAGACAGGGGAGACTGGGGATTGGCCAGAAGAGGGAGTTTCATTGTTTTATAAATAGGGGGGTTAGGCGAGGAAGACGTCAGAACGGCCATGGCAATCGGAGGAGCCGTTCTCCGGGTGTCATGTCACCTGTCATTTATGCTGTAACCTCGTGAGTTTAATAAAAGCCTCTAACACGATGCAGCATAAAACGGACTCTTTGTTGACAGCAATAATGACCACCATTCATCAGATACGACAACAGCTTTAGAGACAAACACATGAACCTACCTTCTTTATCCACTATCAACCCTTCCTGAAACATACTGGTGTAACGCAACATGCTACTATTTTACTGTCATTCTGTATGTCTGTTATGTCCAGTGTGAGAACAAACTGTAGAATATCAATGATGAGATAATATGATGCTGCATGAACTCTATGCCAATCTATGATGTTCACCAATGAAATGTCATGCAGCTAACTACAATGCCATGCTATAGCTAACCCCTCACAGGCTGCATAAAACCTAATGCATATTTTTCTCTCCACCCACCCAGTGAGTGTGTGTGACGGTTGTATTAAATATGTGTTCTTTGTGGGCCGGCTGTCAAAGCTGTGAGATACAGAGAGGCTGTCACAGAGCAAGTTGAAGCAGGTTTATAAAACTAGATTATGTTCTGCTCCCTTTGGGATGTTGTCTCCTGGTGAACAGTAGTTACGTCTCACAGACAGACAGAGAAAGAGAGACAGAGAGAGACAGACAGAGAAAGAGAGAAGAAGACATGAAGAAAGAGGAGAGAGGAGAGAGAGAAGAGAGAGAGAGAAAGAGAGAAGGAGAGAGAGAGAGAGAGAGAGAGAAAGAGAGAGATAGAGAGAGAGAGGGAGAGATGAGAGCTAGAGAGAGGAGAACAGTGGAGAGACGAGGAGGAGAAGAGAGGAGGGGGGAGAAAAGAGCATGCAGAGAGACGAGGCCTTAAGAGAGAGAGATAAGGAAAGAGATAAGAGAAGTATGGCCACTTAGGAACGCTAATGATATGAAAGCTAAGAGAGGTAGACTAACAGCTCCAGGGATAGAAATAACATGTTCAGTGTTATTGCTACCAGCAGCTGAGGACCACATTTAGCAGGCAAACTGCTCCAAATCTACTCCTACAAAGAGTAACCCCATAGAGGGGGTCTTCAGAAGTGCTATCCTCTGTTTGTGCGCAGCCATGCATGTGTGTGAGTGAGTGTGAGTGTGTGTTTTCAGAAAATACCATCTCTGTTCCATGTCCCTGGGTATTTGATCCATCATGTATGGAGCACTGACCTGTAACTTGTGAACTTGTGACATGAAAATCACTTGAGGGTGGGGAATGTTTAGAGGGACAATGTGATGTTGCCTCAAAGGGAACGCCACAAGTGGTTTGATGTTGACCCTGACCCTGTTGTGTGAGACATGGTTCTCTGTGTGTTTGTGTGTGTGTGTCAGCCTGGTGTGTACTCACATTGTGCCAGGATGCCAGACAGGGCGGTCTTGAACTTGTCCTTGGCCGCCTCCAACTCCTTCTCGTGGGCGGCCTTCTGACTCATCAGCTGGCGGATGTGGCTGTTGGACGACTGGATCATGGAGTAGAAGTTGTTGGCGTTACGACGGTTCACCTCACCGCGTTCCACCCAGGTCAGCAGCACGTGCACCGCCTCCGCAAACTCTGCCTCATCTGAGGAGAGGGTTAAAGGAAAGATTGCACAAAACGATCTCCACAAACTAACATTGATAAATTATATCCTCATTAAATGTTCTTATTTCAAACATATTTAACTATACAGAACAAAAATATAAACGCAACATGCAACAATTTCAAAGATTTTACTGAGTTACAGTTCATAGAAGGAAATCAGTCAATTTAACTAAATAAATTAGGCCCTAATCTATGGATTTCACATGACTGGGCAGGGGCACAGCCATGGATGGGCCTGGGAGGGCATAGGCCCACCCACTTGGGAGCCAGGTCCAGCCAATCAGAATGAGTTCTTTATTACAGACAGAAATACTCCTCACCACACGTGGCCTGCGGTTGTGAGGCCGGTTGGATGTACTGCCAAATTCTCTAAAACGACGTTGGAGGCGGCTTATGGCAATAGCTCTCTTGGACATTCCTGCAGTCAGCATGCCAATTGCACACTCCCTCAAAACTTGAGACATCTATGGCATTGTGTTGTGTGACAAAACTGCACATTTTAGAATGGCCTTTTATTGTCCCCAGCACAAGGGGCACCTGTGTAATGATCATGCTGTTTAATCAGCTTCTTGATAAGCTACACCTGTCAGGTGGATGGATTATCTTGGCAAAGGAGAAATGCTTACTAACAGGGATGTACACAAATTTGTGCACAAAATTTGAGATAAATAAGGTTTTTGTACATATGGAACATTTCTGGGATCTTTTATTTCAGCTCATGAAACATAGGACCAACACTTTACATGTTGCATTTTGATTTTTGTTCAGTATAGTTGAAACTAGACATTTATTTTCAAACTTTTATACTCACATGGCAGAACTTTATAGCTCTTTCTAACTCTGGGCAAAACTTTAGAGGAAAAACATAATGCTGGTATTAGTTGAGGGATAGCTAGCTAGATAGTTAGCAGAGTCCGGTTTGCGGTAGTGTTGGCTAGCTTGGGATCTGATTGGTTTAACTACCCATAAGGATTCAACTTCACTGAATGTAACAAAAGTATACAACTACTGCTTTGATTATAATCACATCACAATGCATACATTTCATCCTGTTTAAAGGATGACATAACACTGATGGTCATGTTACAACTGGCATCACTTGAAGAGTGGCCAGCAGGGATGGAAAGGGGACAGCAGGGATGGAGAGTGGACAGCAGGATCATGAAACAACCCTTACCACCAAGTTACCTCTTCTTGGAACAGTTGCTGCCACTCAAGCAGTAGAAATTCAGATGTGTCAGTGCTCCTCACTGGTCATTACATCCCTACCTTTTATCACAGTGTAGAATTTCAATGGTGTGAGCTGCATATTCACTTAAATATTTCCTACTAGCCTTTTGACCTTTTATGAAAAGCCTTTATCTGTGGTGATCCACTCCATAAAATGCCTTACTGTCCACGGCCTATCTCACTATCCATAACATGCAAATGTCGACACACGTTTTATCATTCATAGGTAACACATCCATGCATGAGGTCCCATACATATAGCTAAGTTAATAAAAGCTAGCCTGGTTTTGTTAGATAAGGAAAGATTCATAAGATTATAAGAATTCATAAGTAAGCATGTTAGCCTTGAAATAGGCAAGGTGATTCTGCATAAACAAGCTCAGCTAGCTACAGTATATTTACAAATACCCTAGCTGCTAACTAGTCAAAACCAATTCCCATAGGCCCGTTTTCTACTTCTCGATCATAAAACAATGAATGATGTATCTGTCCTAAACTCTATGAGCTCTACTGTCTAAGAGCAAAATATTATGTTACAGTAGTGTTATCTTAGCAAAATAAAATGGAAAATGCTTGAATGCCATCTTAGTCATACCTTCCCAGTCCTCTCTGAAAGATTACATATTGTCTCTAATACCTGCATTAGGTAAATCTGCTGAAAGGAATCTGTGTAGATTTGTGTTGCTTTTGTTTAGCTTTTATTTTAATTTTTTAATTTCTAAAGTCAAACTTGTTTCATTTTTGTGAAAGTGAGAGTTATAGTCTATTGTTCGAGGGAGTTGCTCTGACACAGCTTTTGATACGCACACATACACTCACACCACGGCACACAGCTTTGAAACAGCGATGGCGACCAGCAATCTCTCTCCCCTAGAAGAGGCCCTGTCGTGTCCTGTGTGCTGTGACATCTTCAAGGAACCTGTCATTCTTTCCTGTGGCCACAGCTTCTGTAAGGCCTGCCTGGAGGAGGCCTGGAGTTCAGGAGGGTCCCAGAACTGTCCTGTCTGTAGACAGATGTCCTCTAGAGACCATCCTCCCCAGTCATTGGCCCTATTTAACGCCTGTGAGTTTCTGCAGAAGGAGAGGGAGAGGAGTCTGAGAGGAGCCAACAGACAGAGCTCCTGCAGGGAGAACAGAATGTGTGTCCTCAACACTCAGGAACTCAGTCTGTTCTGTGTGAAGGAGGAAGAGCTGATTTGTATAAAGTGTGTGTCAGATCATACTGATCATAGTTTCTGTTCTATAACAAAGGCTGCAAAAGAGAAAAAGGTAAGTCTACTTTATCTTTAAATGTCAAAAAAAAAGTTTGCATCCTTTTTGGAGCTCATATCCTGCTCATTCTATACAATTTGCCATGACTTGTAAAACATAAAAAAATTAAAAATCCATTAATAAGATACAGTGGGGAAAAAAAGTATTTAGTCAGCCACCAATTGTGCAAGTTCTCCCACTTAAAAAGATGAGAGAGGCCTGTAATTTTCATCATACGTCAACTATGACAGACAAAATGAGAATTTTTTTCTCCAGAAAATCACATTGTAGGATTTTTTATGATTTTATTAGAAATTATGGTGGAAAATAAGTATTTGGTCAATAACAAAAGTTTCTCAATACTTTGTTATGTACCCTTTGTTGGCAATGACACAGGTCAAACGTTTTCTGTAAGTCTTCACAAGGTTTTCACACACTGTTGCTGGTATTTTGGCCCATTCCTCCATGCAGATCTCCTCTAGAGCAGTGATGTTTTGGGGCTGTCGCTGGGCAACACGGACTTTCAACTCCCTCCAAAGATTTTCTATGGGGTTGAGATCTGGAGACTGGCTAGGCCACTCCAGGACCTTGAAATGCTTCTTACGAAGCCACTCCTTCGTTGCCCGGGCGGTGTGTTTGGGATCATTGTCATGCTGAAAGACCCAGCCACGTTTCATCTTCAATGCCCTTGCTGATGGAAGGAGGTTTTCACTCAAAATCTCACGATACATGGCCCCATTCATTCTTTCCTTTACACGGATCAGTCGTCCTGGTCCCTTTGCAGAAAAACAGCCCCAAAGCATGATGTTTCCACCCCCATGCTTCACAGTAGGTATGGTGTTCTTTGGATGCAACTCAGCATTCTTTGTCCTCCAAACACGACGAGTTGAGTTTTTACCAATAAATTCTATTTTGGTTTCATCTGACCATATGACATTCTCCCAATCCTCTTCTGGATCATCCAAATGCACTCTAGCAAACTTCAGACGGGCCTGGACATGTACTGGCTTAAGCAGGGGGACACGTCTGGCACTGCAGGATTTGAGTCACTGGCGGCGTAGTGTGTTACTGATGGTAGGCTTTGTTACTTTGGTCCCAGCTCTCTGCAGGTCATTCACTAGGTCCCCCCGTGTGGTTCTGGGATTTTTGCTCACCGTTCTTGTGATCATTTTGACCCCACGGGGTGAGATCTTGCGTGGAGCCGCAGATCGAGGGAGATTTTCAGTGGTCTTGTATGTCTTCCATTTCCTAATAATTGCTCCCACAGTTGATTTCTTCAAACCAAGCTGCTTACCTATTGCAGATTCAGTCTTCCCAGCCTGGTGCAGGTCTACAATTTTGTTTCTGGTGTCCTTTGACAGCTCTTTGGTCTTGGCCATAGTGGAGTTTGGAGTGTGACTGTTTGAGGTTGTGGACAGGTGTCTTTTATACTGATAACAAGTTCAAACAGGTGCCATTAATACAGGTAACGAGTGGAGGACAGAGGAGCCTCTTAAAAAATAAGTTACAGGTCTGTGAGAGCCAGAAATCACAATTGGTGGCTGACTAAATACTTTTTTCCCCCACTGTATGCCCCATAGTAAAAAAACAACAACATTGTATCATGACCCTGATTTGTCTTTGGTTGTGTCTCCAACAGGAGGAGATAAATACCTCACTGGAGGTGTTGCAGGTGAAATTGGACTCTTACACTGAAGACAAATATACAAGTGAAAAGATGGTTGATCACATCAAGACCCAGGCTCAGCAGACAGAGAGCCAGATAAAGGAGGAGTATGAGAAGCTGCAGCAGTTCCTGAGAGAGGAGGAGGCCAGGCTAGCCAGGCTGAAGGAGGAAGAGGAGGAGAAGAATAGAGGAATGGAGGAGAGAATTGAAGGACTGAGTAAAGTGATGTCATCTCTGTCAGACACCATCAAGTACATAGAGGAGAAGTTGGAAGCTAATGACCTGATATTCCTGCAGAGCTTTAAGACAATATATGAAAGAGCACAGAACACACCTAAAGATCCAGAGGTATCAGGAGCGCTGATAGATGTGGCCAAACACCTAGGCAACCTAAAATTCAGAGTCTGGGAGAAGATGCAGGGGATTATACGATACACTCCGGTGGTTATGGACCCAAACACTGCACACCCCACTCTTATCCTGTCTGAGGATCTGACCGGGCTAAAAAAGGATGGAGGGAGGCAGGACCTTCCCAAAAACCCAGAAAGGTTTGAGAAACACTTAATCATCCTGGGCTCTGAGGGGTTTACCTCAGGACATCACTGCTGGGAGGTGGATGTTGGAGACAATGACAACTGGATGATTGGAGTAGCCAGAGAATCTGTCATAAGAAAGGAAGTAGTCACAGCATCCAACACAGATGGATTCTGGTATGTATGCTCCCATCATGGTAAATACCCACCTTCACAATATTATTTAAAGATCCAGAGGATCAGAGTGGTGCTGGACTGTGACGAAGGACAAGTATCCTTTACTGATACTGTGAGAAACAAACACATCCACACTTATAAACACAGACTTACTGAAAGGATGTTTCCATACTTCTGTACGGGGGAAAGCCCCGCTCTTCAGATTTGACCAGCTAAGGTTTCTGTTAGGATTAAACAGGATTAAACAGTAGTCTAATTTAGGAGAGTATGAGCACAAGAGAACAGCCAGAGATGTTGTTTCCTTTTAATTTTGTTAAGATAACGCTTCTGTGACATAATATTTTACTAAATTTATGACTTTCTAGAGCAGGGATCATCAACTAGATTCAGCCACGGGCCGATTTGTTCATGAGCGGATGGTCGGGGGGCCGGAACATAATTACAAATCATTTGTAGACTGCAAATTAACCGCAAAAAGCCCAAACAGATATAATGTTTGACTGAAACATAATCATTTTAAACCTTGCTTACATTTGTATACGATCACACATGTCTTTCTATTATGCGTGGGAATACCTGGGAACATATATTTTTAATTAAAATCACTTGGAGCTGATTTCCTGGTGTTTTTAAAGTATTTTATGTCCAACAATTATCCCCACGGGCGCCAGTTGGGGAGCCCTGTTCTAGAGTTTAGGAGAAATACACCACAAAGTGTTTTATGTTTGAGAAGAAGAAAACAGACATATGGGAATTGCTTTTTGGCTTACCAGCTACAATATTTTCAATATTAGCTAGCTAGCTAATCTAGCTGGCTTGCTATCAATGTATTGTTCATGCCGGATTGCCTTGCATATTACAGGCTTTCTTATTAATTGTATTAAACAGATGACCTGAGTCTCCAAAACCTTTTTGCCTGCGTCTTTTATTATCTAACAGAACTAGGCTAGCTATTATTCACTTAGCTAGCTGTATGGATCTCATGTCCGAAGCCTGTTACACCCAATGCCATACGTTCATGGACGTGTTATGAATGATCAAAGGTGTGTCACTTTAACATTCAGAGCAGCACTGGAGAAAAGCCATTTAGAATGGAAGGACACTTCTTTGATTAAGGTTCCATTAACTAGAGACCAGTGGAATGGCAGCAATGTGACTATCATGTTTCAAATGCCTTTGTATGAACAACAGGGTTGTTTTGCATTATTCATGTTTGGCCTGTAGACTGATAAGGTGATGTGAAGAGACACAAGTGTTTTTGATTGTCATTGTTAATGACACTATAATTGTCCTGAATGTGTTTCTGCACATATACCCGCACTCACACACATGTTGAATAAAGTGTTGAACAAACAGCCCTAGGGACAGCTATTTGTTAGTGTTTATTAGGTCCCTAATATATCTAACTCAACTCAGGGAGAGGAAGGGAAGGGAAGGGAAGGGAGGGGAGGTAAACGGAAGGTATGAGAGACTGAAAAGAAGACAGAGGGGAAGATAATGAGACTGGGAGAGAAACAGATGGAGAGAGAGTTGAGGTGTTTCTGTTTTCTCTCCACAGTCACTAGTCCTCCCTACCAACTACAGGTCCATTATTAATACACACACAATATCCATACTAGTCAATCACTGACAATGACCAGGGCCCAATATAATATCATATTTGGACTAAATTAGAATTTATCTGTGAGGCTGTGGCATCTGATATACATTATTATCACATACAATGTCATATAATGCATATATACAGCTAGGGAGCTACAGTAAGCGGCTTATCAAAAGATATAATGCATCTATACAGCTAGGGAGCTAAGCGGCTTATCAAAATATATAATGCATCTATACAGCTAGGGAGCTAAGCGGCTTATCAAAAGATATAATGCATCTATACAGCTAGGGAGCTAAGCTGCTTATCAAAATATATAATGCATCTCTACAGCTAAGGAGCTAAGCGGCTTATCAAAAGGTATAATGCATCTATACAGCTAGGGAGCAAAGCGGCTTATCAAAAAGTATAATGCATCTATACAGCTAGGTAGCTAAGCGGCTTATCAAAATATATAATGCATCTATACAGCTAGGGAGTTAAGCAGCTTATCAAAATATATAATGCATCTATACAGCTAGGGAGCTAAGCGGCTTATCAAAATATATAATGCATCTATACAGCTAGGGAGCTAAGTGGCTTATCAAAATATATAATGCATCTATACAGCTAGGGAGCTAAGTGGCTTATCAAAAGATATAATGCATCTATACAGCTAGGGTGCTAAGCGGCTTATCAAAATATATAATGCATCTATACAGCTAGGGAGCTAAGCGGCTTATCAAAATATATAATGCATCTATACAGCTAAGGAGATAAGCGGCTTATCAAAATATATAATGCATCTATACAGCTAGGGAGCTAAGCGGCTTATCAAAATATATAATGCATCTATACAGCTAGGGAGCTAAGCGGCTTATCAAAAGATATAATGCATCTATGCAGCTAGGGAGCTAAGCGGCTTATCAAAATATATAATGCATCTATACAGCTAGGGAGCTAAGCGGCTTATCAAAATATATCATGCATCTATACAGCTAGGGAGCTAAGTGGCTTATCAAAAGATGTAATGCATCAATACAGCTAGGTAGCTAAGCGGCTTATCAAAAGATATAATGCATCTATACAGCTAAGGAGCTAAGCGGCTTATCAAAAGGTATAATGCATCATATACAGCTAGGTAGCTAAGCGGCTTATCAAAAGGTATAATGCATCTATACAGCTAGGGAGCTAAGCGGTTTATCAAAATATATAATTCATCTATACAGCTAGGGAGCTAAGCGGCTTATCGAAAGAACAGACTTTGATGACGTTCCAGAGATTTATAAGACCCACATACACTATTCAAGGGTCTGCACCTCCATCATTAGGTCACGTCGTTGCCATTGTTATCAACGTTCTACAGATCCCACAGGATATTGATGTCCGACTGATGGCTAATGACTTTTTAGTCAAATTTACACTTTTTCTGAGAAGCTGATATATGAGATGCCAGCCAGGCAGCTTCCTGGTGTTTTAGTATGCACACATACCCTCAACACATTCATGGGTTGCAAGTTGCATCACAATATTGTTTTGAACGTTCGTTTTAGGACTGATGCCAAGCTGAGCATTCTACTCAATGCAGTCTTAATAGGTGCTGATGAAGATTTAATAATAATATAATAAATAATATGCCATTTAGCAGACGCTTTTATCCAAAGCGACTTACAGTCATGCGTGCATACATTTTTGTGTACGTGTGGTCCCGGGGATCGAACTCACTACCTTGGCGTTACAAGCACCGTGCTCTACCAGCTGAGCTACAGAGGACCACGACCATTTAGGACCATTTAGTCTGAAGTGCATTACATACTGTGGCTTGGAAGCAATGACATTTCAAAAAGAGGCAAATATTTAGTAGGGCATATTTTGTCATCATTTTGATGTCGCCAGATTGACTTTAGATTCAATATAACGTTAGCTAGCTACTAAATATTTGCCTCCTTTTTAAATGTCATTGTTTCCAAGAAACAGTATGTAATGCACTTCAGACTAAATCTTCATCAGCACCTATTAAGACTGCATTGAGTAGAATGCTCAGCTTGGCATCAGTCCTAAAACGAACGTTCAAAACAATATTGTGATGCAACGTGCAACCCATGAATGTGTTGAGGGTATGTATGCATACTAAAACACCAGGATGCTGCCTGGCTGGCATCTCATATATCAGCAGGCATCTCAAATAAGCCATAAATGATTAAGGAAGTGACAACACTATAGAGGAGAAGTACAAATTAAGGAGGTTCAATCCTCTGAGAGGTAGAGTACTGCGGTGAAGAGAGAATTAGTATTTTGTGAAATACTCAAAATGGCCAGGAGAGGGAGCCAATGCAATGTAACATATTGAATAATAGCACCAAAAAGTCAAAATAGGCAAACAACATTTTAATACAGAATGGGGATTTGATTTAAGTATTTAATTACTAATGTTGCATGAACTAATAGCAGTAATGAATGGTCAGCTTAGTAGACCGGTATCTGGAAAAACAGTCACCATTAAGAGTAAAGCAGAGCTTCATTTAACTCGAAGAGAGAGACAGGAAATGACGAAATTATTTTAAGGCAAATCCGCATTTAGAATAAGTCTCTTGTAAAAGTAATAGATGTTAAGTAAATTATGATTTTTCAATAGGGGACCATATCTTGGTGATTTATCTGCATGGACAGATAACGAGTAACGTTTTTTTAAAAGGGATAGCGCGAGAATATGTAATTGACAATATTGTCGTAAGCAACACGAAATGGGATTTACATGGGATTTACATTATATGAAAGAGGCGTATAAAGCATGTGATTTAATGAGCACACGATGGCAAGGAAATATAAGTAATAAGGAGAAACAGTCAGCTAATGAAGTTAAGTAATTGAATGGGACAACATGGGCTATCTTATGAACAAAGAGCAGAAAGTAATTTGAATTTGAGTGGTGCATAATAAGTTGTAAAAATGGATATGATAATTTGATATAAGTTAGGATAAGAAGTTACGATATATAACATAAGTAAGTCATAGAATTTCAAGGAGTGGTATGGAGATTGTGATGCTGTTTTAGAGGGTAGTGGAAAAGTAGTATGAAAGTATTATTTGATGTGAGTACTTAGAAGTTTCTAACGTTATATATGTATTAACTTGCTCACCCAAACGTAGACATACGTTATAGGTGGGGAAATAATTAATATGGGTTTTCTAAGTTTGTACAGTTGTTAGATCCTTTGATAGAGATAAGATTTAAGAAATTAACTGCCCATATGGTTGGAATTCATAGATGTAATTTATAATATAGTACAAAGCCAATTTAGGGTTTACATTAAACTAATTATCAGTGTGGAGCTAAGGTGGTGAAGTGAAGGAACTTCATTTTGTTTCAGATGGTAAGACGACAAACCATTGTAATTGCGCTATTTGTGGGATTTATTTGTCATTTCAATTAAATAGAGTAAAATCTGGGTTTCTGAGTATAATTCTACTGTTGGTACAGTGGGGAAATAAAGTATTTAGTCAGCCACCAATTGTGCAAGTTCTCCCACTTAAAAAGATGAGAGAGGCCTGTAATTTTCATCATAGGTACACGTCAACTATGACAGACAAATTGAGATTTTTTTCCCCAGAAAATCACATTGTAG